CACACAGTTCCTAATGGGCAGCCCTGGGATTTGAACTCAGGAAAGCTGAGTAGAGGGCATTCTCCTTAGCCTTTACCCTAAACTGTCCCTTTCAGAACCCTAGGGATTGTTTTTAAATGTTGAGGCTAATATGTTCATTAGAACATTTCTATAGAGCAACAAGCCATTGTAAATATCTAGACTGGCTGGGGATTTTCTATCACTTGTCACTTGTTTAGTCAGCAGCTGTTTTTCCTGGTGTGTGTAGAAGTGATGGTGGTACCGAGGAGGATTATAACCTGTGACCCCGGCATCTCTGTGGAAATGAGTTATGTGCATGAATATCTGTAAAACAAAATAGAACGCAATCATAATATGCATGTCATTTTCAATCTGTTTACACATTTTAAAAAAAGAACTAGCTTATCATGTATCCCTTTGGGTGAGCCTCCTGTGTCTGTCCCGCCCACCATTGTTTCCTCCATGCAGGAGGAAATCAAGGGCGTTGTGCAAACCCTTGAAGTGAATGAATGAATGAGTGGCAGCGTCGCTGCCAGCTCAGTTCCAAGTACAGTGCTGTAGTGGGTGCCTCGCGAAGTTTTCCTCATTTTGTTTTTATAAGAAAAAATTTTTATCAAATTAAACAAACAACAACATCAAAACTGAGATCTAACATTTTGCCCATGGGAAACGGTCAAGCCAGAATTCGAACTCAAGTCTTGAGGAGTCTGTATCCAGTATCCCCTCCATTCTTCTCCATGAGAGCGAGGGGTACCGATAAAGTTAAGCGAGGGATACCGATAATCCCACTCACCCCCCACCCCTGCCTCAAGCTAGTGCCTAACAATGAACAGATTCAAAAGAAACATTTCCGATGACTCCCACCATTCTTGTCTAAAGCAAGGACAAGAGGATATATTGCGAAGCCAGATGACTAGATATTTATCAGTCAGAAATGTCTCAAAAAATACAGCTTGATTAGTGAATTGCAGTATGTTCAGTAATTAATTAAGAGCTTGATTTGTAAAAACAAAGCATGATGGCTCCTACACACACCATGTGTCCCCTGAGCAAATGAAGAGAGAGCTTAATGCCGAGGCTCCTAGTTCAGCTAAGCAGTCACAGATGTGACTCAAATTAGAAGGATGAACTCTGAATAACAATAACACCATCCAAATTAGCAAGTATTATCTAAAATTTCTCCCAGAAAAGCTGGAGACAGAGGCTACAGTCCAAGTCTGTGAGCTTCATATTCTGTTAAAACTGAGTTTGGATCTGCTTGGGACTGTGAACTCCGGGAAAAATGAGGGAAATATTTGAGTTGTTCAAGGGACTAGCACCTACAGAGCTCTGAAGGCAAATCTATGGTTCATGTGGGGGGAGTGCAAATGTGTCCAGGGAGAGTGTGTGTGTGTGTGTGTTGGCTTTATGGAAGTGCAAGAACATACACATATTATTTGGAAAAGAGATAATCTCTTGTTGAAAGCGGTCACCTCTCCAAAAGCCTTGTTAAAATTATAGTAGGTGGGTTAGGCTGAGTTTTCTGGAGAAATAAAACCAGAGACACCCATATATGTTTAAGAAAGATGTTATCTCAAGAGCACAGCTCATCCAGCCCCAGAGCAGGCCAAGCTGGTGTGACTCAAGCCCATGTTTCAGACGCTGAAGGCCTTTCCCAACTCACACAGCTACTGGCCAATGAAGTAGGAAGCAGTAAGATGAAGTCGCATATGGGAAGACCACAGGTCAGAGGAGGCTATGTCAAGTAGATCTACAACAGGCACCCCCCAGCTCCCAGAGTCAGCAGGCCATGTGGCTATAGGCCAGCCCAACTCTCAAGAGACCAGATGTAGAATCCAGGCCAACAGGAGGAAGACGCTCTTTACAGCGTCTCTTTCATGGATATCAAAGAAGCCATGCACCCAAGGAATGTCATGACGTTGTGTGCACCTTATGGGGGAGGCCTTACTCTGACATGACTGAGGATCAAGTTGACACAAAACTGTATGATCACAGCAGGCCTTACACTGCTTTGGTATGTTTTGTTGTAAGCTTTGTTATCAGCCTATATGACTTTTTAGATTATATAAATATCACACTTGGACAAAAAAAAACAAATCTTCATTTTATAAAACAGTCATCAGAGAGTTTATATTACAAAAGACAACTCAGATAAATCTTAATAAGAAAGTCAAGGATTAAGTCTTTGCAAACAAAGGTGAAGGGTCCTTTAGGAAACATGCTTGCAATTAATAGCCCTATAATGATAATACATACAAGAGACAAGATTTTATATATATATTTGTTTTTATCAAAATATGTTTAACACACATGTTGAAACCTATTTTAAACAAATATCTTATTTTCATTACATAAATGATTCACTCATTCATATCATTTTATCCTTAACAGTGATGGAAATCAATAAAGGGAGAAAGTCTTTCCTAACTCATCATCTTCATTGTTAGCTTGTATTATTCCACGTCATCATGATCTATGCTTTGTGTTCTATGTGCTCTTGGCCTTGGGACATTACTCACCCCTGGCCCCTTCTACCTCAATCTGCCCATTCTGCCCCAACAACTCTATAGCGCTACAGTGTACAACTCCCTCCTCTTTGGCTCACTACCTGTGTGCTTACTCTTTGTCGCTTTCCCAATCATTTCCCTTTCATCTGCAGAAGATCTATGGCAATTGGTTTTGGGACGTGGTTTGTGAAAGCTGCTCAACCTGTTTCTTCATTGCCCTGGATTTTGAGAACTGACATGACTTGCTCGCCCTACCATTTCACATGCTGTTATGAGGACCACCTTCAGTTCTTTACTTCTGTATTGTGCTTTTCATCCAGTCTCAGCTGACTTCTGAGACGTTTATTTTTTCTGCATTTTTGGATAAGCACAGAATCTCAAAACACTCAGTGGGGTGTTGATAATGTCCTTTTGAAAAGAAAAGGAAATTCACAGATTCCTTAAATTAAAAAAAAAATCATTCCCAACTCTGCCTTTGAAATTTTCAAATGTATGAGGGGGGTACCCAAAAAACTTTGGATTTTTTTCAAAGCTATGTGCTTCTTTTTCTTTTTCAACAAAACAAGCTTATCACCTTCAAAGTATTTTCCATTACCCTTAATATATTTGTCAAATCTGCAATTCCATTCTTGGAAACATTTTTCAAACTCATCTGTTTGGATTGCTGGTAGCACCTCCCTTGTTTTATTTTCTTCACCTCTTCCAAGCCCTCAAATCACTGTCCTTTCATATCCCTCTTCATTTTTGGAAACAAAAAGAAGTCACATGGAAGGAGGTCAGGTGAATATGGTGCTTGGGCAAGAGAGGCATGCTGCTTTTTGCCAAAAATTGGTGCAGAGAGCTAGCTGTGTGAGCAGGTCCATTGCTGTGGTGGCAAAACGAGTCCCCTGTCTGCCACAAATCAGGCCTTTATTGTCGCACACTGTTAGGCAATCCTTGCAGAACCTCTCAATAGAAAGCTTGATTAACAGTATGACCTGGTAGAAGGAACTCCAAATTCACTATCCCCCTCACAGCAAAAACCAAATGAAGGTACCCCTCATATGTAACACTTGAAAACTGAGGACAAAATTCCACCACGGAGTTGCATCCCATTCCCCGAAGTTGACAAAGAGATTGAAATAATTCCACAATCCTAGTAGTAGGGGAAAATGCTCATTTGGGGGCTTTCTAAAATGTCTGGCTTAGAAAGAGAGAAACACACACCTACCGCCATGGACACGTAGTATCTTCTTTCTCTGGCCTCAAAATTTCAATTAAAATGATTGAATTAAGGCTGGTTCAAGTGTATGACACAAAACCAGATTGGTTCTCACGAAACAGTCTGAAAATTTAACACTACCTTTCTGCTGACGAAATGACACCAATCCGCCCGGAGGACGGGATTTGACTGCATTTTGTAACAAAGACCTCACCAGTGACCGATGCTTTCCCCTCTGGGTCTTCTCTGACCTTGGATGAGAGCCAACTGTTTCAGTGATCTCCAAAAACATCTTTCTCGTGTTGATTTCTAATTGGTAACCCTCGGTGTGCTTGTGTATGCTGTTGTGTGTGTAGCCTATTTCTCTGGTGATGGCGACGAGCTAATAGCATATGTATGTATCTGCTATTAGGCCCAGGGAATTAAGAGAGGATCTTATCCTCAGTCCTTAGTCCCTTAAAAATTAGTTTGCTTATTTCTCTGCCCCATATGAGTTCTGCATTGTTTTAATGAATTCATTCACAGTGTGAGGGCTCACAGCATCGAAGAGACCTCAAGCAGTTTCACATTACAGACACTGACAGGGCCTGCTAGAGATCTTCAAAGGCCTCTCTCCTTTATTGTTTCATCATTTCTTGAGAAAATTATTTTTAGACTACCTCCTGCTCCCCTTCTTCATCTTCTGCTTTTTTTTTAAGAACAACAACAACAAAACAAAAAAACAAGAAAAAGAATTAAGGCCAGGGGCCATGATCTGAACTAAAGCTACAGTTTAAAAAAAGATGAAATGGTGTAAAACTCATCTAGATGGCTGAAAAGCATATTTGTATATGAGACCATTGTACATCCAGTCGTTTTCCAGCATTCTGGTTAACGGTAGCTGCTTTTTTTGAAAAGAGTATTCTACAGAAACCAAATAGGTAAGAGGGAAAATGAACCCCCAAACTCACTGCCATCAAGTTGCTCCTAACTCAGTGAAGATAGTCTAGCCACAGAATAGCCTGGGACTCCCTACCTTCTGATAATCTTTTGGGCACCTTTATAAGCCTCACAGAGCCATTGAGCTAGATGATCTCTTGGGGACATTTCCAAGTTAACTTTTTAGGATACTATTCAATCCAACAAACAATGTAATTGAGTATCTACACAGTTACTGTAGATACAAAGATAAATGCAGCACAGCACCTGATATAAGAAGTACACACACACACACAAAAAAACTTTGAAAACATGCATATTATCCTGTCTAGTGCAAATCATAAAAAAAAATTAAAAAAAAGAAGTACACCCATATATTTGCCTGGCAGGGGAGATCCCATGATCATGAGGGCAGTTTTCCCAGGGTGAGGCTCACCCACTGCACTCCGGGTGTGCTGACCCCTGTGATTTCCCCAAATATGGGAAACTCAACTGCATAATTTGTGGTCGTGGGGGACTGCGTTTGCGCTATACCCTGAAAAAAAGGTGGGGGGGAGAAGCACACACAATTCTATTTTAATAGAGCGTTGAGGAGCAATCCTGAGAAGGGGCCATTGAACCTCAGTCTCATTTGCTTTGAAGCTCAAAAATACTTCAAGGGTCTCTTTCCCAGAGAATAACTTGAATCTCAATGACTGAGAAAATTCATTAAGTGAATGGGAGAATTAGAATTAAATAAATGAGTTGAGTGGTTAAATAAAAATATACTAAGCATGAATGAAAATACAACCCTAGAAAAATATCATATTTCATACAGGAGCTTAAAACAAATGACATTCTTAGAACCTACTAAATCAAGTTTCTCTAAATCAAGTTTCTCTATGGTAAAAAAAAAATGAATGCCTTTCCTTGTCAGTCCCCTATAACAAATGGTGATCATATACTTCAAAGGAAATTCTGTCTTTTACTTAACTAGGGAATAGTACTCATGGGAGAAAATACTTGATTCCAGCTGGTGATTAGTATATGCCTTAACAAGTAAGAAAAAGGTTGCTTAATGATTCTTACACTTTAACTGTGTTTAGTATCTTGGGTCTTTTAAGGCCTGCTCAAAGTCAATTAATATCCTATAACAAGAAATTCTCTAATACTGACAAATAAGTGAATGCCCTGCACATTTTAAGTAAAGAGCACATATATTTATTTTCTCATTCCTTCCCATATATAAGGAATTTACAGGATCGTCTTTCTATTGGAATAGTCTAGCATGACAATGTGTCCTAGCATCTGTGATTTGCACTTTGGACCAAAGACCAGGGTGTGGGTCAATTACATGGGAGATCCTGACAAAAAGTATGAGAGGACACCAAATGCCATATCAGTGAAAACTGGGGGGGTGGGAGGGGGGATCACTGTTGAACATTGTGTTAGTCTGGGTAGACTAGAGAAACAAATTCATAGAGACACTCATATGTGTATAAGAAAGAGCTAATGTTGGGGGTTTAAGTTGAGAGAAAATGCTTTGAGAATGATGTACAAATGCGCTTTACACAATTGATGTGTGTATGGATTGCGATAACAGTTGTATGAGCCCCTAATAAAATGTT